GGGAAATGCACGTGACTATGGTGGTGGCACAGGGGTGATTTGGTGATGGGAAACCCGCGGGGATTACAATCGACATGGAAAAAAAATATGTGCAAAATGACGTAAAAATAAACTTTGTAATAAATAAAAAAAAATTAGTGTGAGTGTATAGCAATAAACCCCAATCACTAAGAAAATATAGGGTTTAGAAACACTGAATTTTGGCATGAAATAAATGACATTCATATCATCACAGCTTTGTCACAAGCATAATGCTTATTACTGTTTACATCTTTATCATCCATCTCTCCTTCCCAGCATTAAGAAAGCAGGGTTTTTTCCTAAGCTTTGTTCAATTATGTTTCCCAGTATATGAAACAGCCTGGTACATTAGAGACATTTAATCTATAATTGCAGAATAAAATAAATGTATCACCCACTGCTATAGTATACAAAACACACAGCCACTCCAACAAAATTATTTTGCTCCCATGTCGGGCAAACACTGAGTCAAACTTGTGTAATAATCATTAGCAATTTATAGATGTCAAATTATTTTTCCTAATTAATTGATAGAATTATATGGAATTACTGTATTGAAATGTGAGGGCAGAAGAAGAACCAATACATGAGTTAAAAGCATGTGGCCTGAGCCTACTCTAACAGGACCTACTTTTAAGTTGCAGTTAGAAGACTTAGGTTGTAGCAACAGCCTCTGCGGTGTGGACTTCAAGAAAGCCATTTTCCTTTCTGAGTCTTTGCTTGCCCCATCTACAGAATGAGACTTACCCACCCAAGTGAGAGGTGTTGAAATGGTGTTATACATGGGAGGCTCCAAAGCTCTGTACTTATTCCCAGTTATAACACTTTGAAAGGGAGTAGCCAGGTTCTCAGGACAAGTTAAAATGGTGACACAGACTTAGGCAGGGGTATGGGGCTCAATAAACTAAGAGGAAGACACAGAAATATAACAAATTCTCAGTATGTGACCTTTCAGTTAATGCATATTTCTCCCCAAGCTCAATGGCAAGACTTAAACAAGTCAAACATCTCCTATTTTTATCACGATTACTTTTCTCACTCCTTTTGGGAATGCCATTTTATTCATTTAAGACACCAGTTATTGTTAGTGGTGTTCTTAACTATCATAGTATTTCTTTAAAAGTTTATGCTAATATTGGCCCTCCCTGGTGGCACAGCGGGTTAAAGCACAGCACTGAGAATCTAAAGCCGCTTCCGCATGAGTTCGATTCCTGCCTGCCCCGGAGGTGACCACATGGCGTGGCAGACCTCTCCTGACCCGCCCGCTGCTCCCCTCAGCAGTGTACTTCGTCGATCTGCCTGTTCTGCTCCCCACTCTGTCTCTGGTGAAGCCTCTCACTGCCCCTGAGCCTCTGGCCTGTACCCCAGTTCTGTATGCACAAATAAATAAATCTTTAAAAAAAAAAAGTTTATGCTAATATTAATCTAAAAACCAGTCCGGTTCAGTCAACATTATGTTCTTAAGACAACATTTTTTTCTTAGAAGCCAAAAAACTCACTTCATAAGATTAATACTTCATATGCATGTCTTAATACAGACATACTAATCTCTTCATACCATTTAATCTTAAAGTTCAACAAATTTTAAGAAAATTTTCATATAAAGTCCTGTGTAGAAATCAGAATTATTTTACCCAGAATTTTCTGTCAGCTCCTTTCCTAACTTTGTTGATACCACCCACAGTTCACTCTGGAAGAATGGGTTTCATGTGAAATTAAATAACCATAGATAACTTTGCATAGTCAAGGATCTTAACCAAACTAAAATAAAGTAAGTTACATCCCTGAAAATTAAAAAGTATGTGAAATTGGGAACATTCATTATGTAATTTCTTAGGTTTTAAGGTGACACATTATCATGCACTAAAACAATTTATGGGCTGGAAGTTTTAAATAAATTTTCTAACCCTACAGGAATGTTACAGATTTCAAAGAGTAGAAAGATGCTCAATGAATATGGTCCTTAACTGAGAATGACTTTGTATACAAAATCTGGGCAAAACTATATTGATATGATAGGTAATACCTCTCTTACCAAAATTTTCAACCAGTATGTTCTATATTTCATGTAAAGTTCACATGGCTTACTCTGCATGTCTATTTCTACTCCCAATTGTAAGACTATCAAGGATAATAAGGAAAACAAGATATCTGACCATTACTTTTGTTAACTCTCTGTTATTAAGTATCACAAAAAATTTTATTTTTAATTTGAGAACACTGATCTTTTTTTTGTTGCTGTTAAGATTTACTTTATTTCTGCATACAGAACTGGGGTAAAGGGCCAAGGTGTAGGGCAGTGAGAGGCTTCACCAGAGACAGAGTGGGGAGCAGAACAGGCAGATCGATGAAGGGAGCATCTGAGGGGAGCAGCGGGTGGTGAGGAGAGGTCTGTGTGCCATGTGGACCACCTCCCGGGGTGGGGGAGTGAACTCATGCGGAAGTGGCTTTAGCTTCTTAGTGCTGAGCTTTAATATGCTGCACCACCAGGGAGGGCCTGAGAACACTGATCTTACTGAAATAATGTGTTGTGACTGGAGTAACTAGAGTATTAGGAATAACTAGAATGATGCCTAACATATAGTAGGTGCTCAGGAAATACTGATTAATAGATTATAATACTTTATTCTCTGCAACAATAAATCAGAAAATGAAAAATTAACAGGTTGCTTGTTTTTCAGAAAATGTTTGCTAAAATTCAAATATAAAGCATAATATCCCTTACCTTGTCTAGAAAGTAAGCATACGTAAATGCAGAAATGAGAGAATCCAAGTCACATGATTTATGTCCAATCACCACATGGACCTTCTCCAAGCGTTTGCTTCGATTCTGAAACAAATTCAAACAAAACATCAGAATTAAATCTCCTACAAATTAAAACAAAGAAGAAATTAAAACAAAGAAATTAAAATGTATGCTTTTTCTGTATCTTACACAACTGCAGAAAGCTATAAATTTAGCATGAAGGACATGAGCACATAAAATTGCATGTTAAATATTTTAAAATATTTGTTCAAATTCTACTAAATTGCTGGAAAGAAAAAATATGATTTTATTAAGATTACCAACAATCTAATTAGAAATGAACTATATCTCTAAGTCATAAATTTTTAGTAAAAAATCATTTTGTTCTAAGGATTAGTTTCATAATATTGTATATCATTTCTTTATATTTCTTTCTGAATTTGACAAGTGACTTTTTATATATCCCTGGAGTGCAACATGTAATGTTGTAGGAATTCATTTTTTCATGCCACATTTTAGGTAATAAGATCTGTTCTTTCTGCATTATATTCTATAATTTAGCAAATGAAACTTGCTACAGTTTTCATCTCCTCAGAGAAAGGGGTATGATTAGTATCATTTTTCTAAAAGCACAAGTCAGTTACCATTAAAAAGAGTATATAATCTTTCTCTGGAAAAGAAGACATAATGCCTGGTTAATTTAATAGCTAAGAGTTAACTTAAAATTTCTTCATAGACAGTTGACCTTTCTTTGAAATGCTGGATTGGAAATGCCAAAGAACCAATTATTTCCCAAAAATTCCACAGCAAAACTTTCCAATATAGATCACTGTAACCTAAATTATAGTATGAGATGACACATGTATATAATACTTGCACTTTTCATTCTTTGCTTGAACTTTTCTTTTTAGGAGCGGCTAGGAAACTGTAGTACTGCTCAGAAAGGATATGTAGAAAAATTAGATCATGAGTATTAAAAAAAGACCTTTCCTTCATTTACAGGGCAAAGATAAAGCATCATTTAGTAACTACCAAGTATTTTACAAGTGCATCTATGATATTGTTATTGTTTGTATGGAACTGTCTGGTATCAGAGTCAGAAATAAGTTATTAAACAACTAGGTTGTGGGCCAAGGGGCATCACAAAGTAAACCTTGAAGAAAGCTATCACTATAAAGAATGATGGTGGGAAGGCCCTCCTTGGTGGCGCAATGGGTTAGGACACAGCACTGCAAGCTAGCCTCAGTCCCTTCAGTGCGAGTTTGATCCCTGCCCAGAGCTGGTCCACATGGTGCACCTCTCCTGTCTCACCTGTTTCTCCCCTCAGCAGTGTTAATTGATCTGCCTGTTTGGCAACCTAATCTCCTCTCTGGTGAAGCCTGTCACCACCCGTGCACCACTGGCCTTTTCCCAGTTCTGCATGCATAAATAAATAAATCTTAAAAAAAAAAAAAAAAGAATGATGACAGGATAAATACTGCAGATGAGTCATCCAATACATAATATTGTTAAATGCATATTTATTTTAAAAACACACCATAAAAAAGGTGTTTTTAATGTGTGTGAGGTTGTTTCTACTTTTGATGGTTAGCATTCTGAATTCAGGGAATAATAAAAATTTTAAGTTGATTTATAAACAAAGATTCTAAGATGTTTATATTTCCATAGTAAAAAACAAATTAAAAGTATGATATAAACTCTGAAGAGAATTATAACCCCTTTCTCATCACCACCATTTCTGGCTCTCAATCTTTCTTCTCCCTGCTTCTTTCCCTATTCTCATAAATGTCTAGGCCCAATTCTCACTCTCAAGGACAAAGTGATCCCCTCTATGGAAGACGGTCAGATATCTGAGAGGTACCTAAAAAATTTTAGGTAAATGGATTTATACTCCATTACAAAACAAGCACTCATTAGGTAATCATATTACTGTAGAATGCTTTTCTTCCCAGAAGCTCAAAGATCTAAGTAGACATTACCTCACTTGTCCTCCCAGATCCTGTAAGGCAGACAGTAAAATGATTAGCAACACTTTTTTAGAGGTAAACAGAGTCTGTGATAGGACCAGGATTGTTCCCAGAATGTATGACCCAGTACCATGATCCCTGTCTCCTCTGCATTGTGCCAACTACTCCATAATGCTATAATGATTTCGTGTCTACAAAATGAGAGCGCACAGAGATTGAAAGAGAAAAAACAATGTTAAATATTCACTTTAAATACGACAAAGCTCCAGACATTTATAGCATCACAATTACCCAAAGGTAACCTATCTGCTTTCTCATCTAAGGCTAAATAATTCCTATGTACAGCTCTGTGTTCAACACTTTATTTACACACAAATCAGACAATTTGTGTGCCAATTCTTTTATAAACCCAAACCAATTATTACTTAGAAAAAGAAAGGAGCTCAATAGGATTGTGAATGCAAAGCATGTTGGGCTAATTCTCATAAATCAGCAATATTCTAAGATTATAATTTATTTGCTCTTCTCCATTTTAAGAAAAAACATACATACATTTGCAGGCAGGCTATAGAATATGGTTCTCTCTCTCTCATCATTTTCTTCCAATCTCTCTTCTCCTGACATATCAGGTTCTCTCATTGTTATAACCTCTTTTATGCCATTGGCTCATGTCTACCATCTTCAGTCAATGTGCCAGTCCCAGGCTCCAATACTCTCTCCCCCAGGCTACCCACTTCATTAACATATACTATCTGGTGGTAATATTATTAGGTTCTATTTGCTTATCTACTCACAAATTCAATCGAGAGTCCAAGTGTGTTATGGGTTACCCACAAAGGCAATCAACTTTTTCTTTAAAGACAACTTCTGGGGAGTATGCTACAATCCCAAAAGATGACTAGAAACTCCATGCTGCTGAGAATGACACACCATCCAGAACAGATATCACAATCAGAAAGTACCATTGGGGTCCAATTAAAAGTAATAGGCTTGGCCCTCCCTGGTGGCGCAGCGGGTTAAAGCACAGCACTGAGAATCTAAAGCCGCTTCCACATGAGTTCGATTCCCGCCTGTCCCGGAGGTGTCCACATGGTGTGGCAGACCTCTCCTGACCCGCCCGCTGCTCCCCTCAGCAGTGTACTTCGTGGATCTGCCTGTTCTGCTCCCCGCTCTGTCTCTGGTGAATCCTCTCACCGCCCCTGAGCCTCTTGCCTGTACCCCAGTTCTGTATACACACAAATAAATAAATTAAAAAAAAAAAGTAATAGGCTTGACTTAAAAAAAAATCTCAGATGTTCTGAAATCCCTGATTCCTACCAATCACCACTGATGGGATATAATTAGAGAGTTAACCATGCTCACATAGACTCCTGCCAGCTTGAAGAAATAAAATGTAAAATTAGTTGTGTAAACTCAACCAATAAGTAATCTCAAGGAATTGCAGGATTTGGGTCACAAATTTCAAGAAAAAGAATCAGGATTAACAGAAAAGTTTCAAGATGTCCACCAGAAATTACTTTGGCAGTGCAAACAGGGCAAGTGCAGGGGTCGAGTCAAGGCATAAAAATATGAAAGCTGATTTCAGGTATCTGGAGCCGGGACATGGGGTCTTTGTGCTATCTTGTTCACTATGTAGTGATGAGCCACTTGCCAGGGTAGTGGTGAAACTGGTTCACAAAGACTTGGGGACAAATGATAGTCTCTGAACCTCTCATAGCATTTGTAAACTTAGAGATGTTCAGTCTTAATATAGTTGTCCCTTGTTACATTTCAAATTAGAATATAGATCACTCAGACACAAATTATATCCAAATAAAATGACATTATATACAATTTATCAATTCAGTGTTACTGTCATTCAACATATAAAAACCTCTGTGTTCCAAGCATTGTTTGACATTCTAAGGATGCAGTAGTATACCAAACAGTCAAAATTCCATGCTACTGAATATTTTAGTCAAAGAATAGATGATGAACCAAGTAAGTAGGTAATCATAACTGAAGGTAGTAGTTGGGATGACACTCACTGAGAATATGAAATTTTCTTGTGATTATATTGTCTTATTACTTTGAGTAATGGCCTGAAGTAAAGAAGTAAGACCTAGTGATAGCTCACAGGACTATCAAGCACAAGACCCTCAATCGAGAGCAGTCCCAACATACTCAACAATTACTGCCTATGCACATATTTTCTAAATGTAACTTTGTAAGCTCCGGGTCAGGAGTAAGTAAATCTGGAAAGAAAATACTCATTCCCTACTACTGACACAAGCAAGCACAAATCAAGGAAACTCAGAAGACTCATTGTTAATGCCTAAACTCCATGCTCTGCAAGCACAACATAAAAAAGAATCCTATTGGGTTGCAACAGACATTGAATTGCTTTGTCACCCACACATCCAAATGAAAAGATCTTTCCATAATCAATGCATAAAAGAAAACATACTGAATGCACCGATATTCCAGGTCACGATTTTAATAGGCTTTCAAAGTGTAATACCAAATACCACTGCTTAATGAGACTGCTTAATGAAGTTTGTTTCATATGTCCTTTTAAAAGCAAGCAAAATGCCTAGGATTCAGATTCAACTTCCCATTAAAGAAAATTGCACTTGTCTGGCAGAAGTACTTTCAAACACATCTACAGAAAACAGAAGTGACCGGAAAAAAGGCTTCCAGATCTCTGGTGAAGGTGGAGGTCACTCCACCAGTTTTTTTCATTACTCTGCCCTCTCAGAAACAGAGATATTCCTCCCTAAAACTTTCCCCATCTAAAGTCACTTGATCTTTAGTCAACTAGTGCTTGCCACACCCTTACCAATTCTCTTTTCTTAAAACTTTATTTTTTTTTCAAAAATAATTGAAATGAATTTGTTCCAGTTACATTGTAGACAAAACCCATAAGAGTTGAAGAATTCCTTTCCTCACACACTAATGCAGGACAAATTTCTTAGTCCCTCATCCTAGCAAGTGAAGAAGAATAAAAGCAAATAAAGAATCAGAAGTAAAAGACTCTTGAATATAACAGTAGTTCCTCCAAAGAAACTCAGGCATAAAACAGAGTTGGCAAGACACAAAATGATGTAAAAATAAACTATTATAAAAATAAAACAAACC